CATGTTTTTATTAATTTTTCAGGGAAAGAAAAAACGTAAAATAAAAACAAATTACAAAAACAGAAAAAATAATTAAAAAATAATATACATATAATTTTTTTACATTTTTTTTTTCTCTTTTTGTAATTTTGTTTTTATTTTCCGTTTCTTCTTTCCGTGAAAAATTAAAAATAATAAGGCCAACGAGAGGCAATTTTCTGCCTCAAGAACAGGTCCAGCGTAGGTGAAATGAGTTTCTGTAACCCTTGGATGCCATTTAAAGCCCACTGCACTTTAACCAGTTGACATCCTCGGTGTTAAACCTCACATATAGGCGACGGCGGGCTATGGACCCGCCGATCGCCTATATGTGAAACACCCGGTAACGGGTGTGTGCATTTAGCGGGTCTTTTCTGCCCGTGCGTGCCCGCTAGGGGGCGCGCGCGAGCAGAAAAAAATTGCCGTCTGGAGACGGCAACCCGCAGATGCTGCAGTGCCGTCCGTCCGTTTTTTTACTACGGGCGGACGGCAAGAGGTTAAGCACCACCTTTATTTCACCTTCTGCATTGACTCCTCCCCGTTTCAGGGGCAGACTGCTTCCTCAGGGCTTGGATATGTTGATAATGAAGGAATGGGACTAACCCGAACACTCCAACCACCATCTACACATTTTGGGAGAACTTCTCTTTTAGCTGCAATAAGAAGTAAATTCTGAGTCCATTCCTTCCTTCTCATGGTTTCCAAGCCCTGAGGAAGGGGCGTGTGTCTGCCCCTGAAACGCGTCGGCTGTTTGATCAATACAATGTTATTATGGACTTTAACGTCCCTTTTGATGTGGCCCTCTTCTGTATTCGGTCCCATTGACTCTGATAGATTTAGCTTTCCTGGGACCCCTGCCCTCCCCCCCACATGTAATCACAATACATAGGTCATGTGACATCAGAGGCCCTCCTCTTCTTCCTGCAGGGGGCGGGCTCTCTATGCAACAGAGCCCACCGCCATGTAATGCTATCAATGCTGTTCCTGCATCATTCTCCTGTGAGCCCAGTTGGCTTGATGATGTTCCTCCCAGTGGGCGGGTCCTTGACACCTTAGGCTCACAGGAAGTTGCTTGAAGGACATTGAGGGTCACGTGACCCAGGAGAAGACTGAGCCAGGTGGCTTGATGATATACTGCCCCAGTGGGCGGGTCCCTGACACCCCTAGGCTCACAGGAAGTTGGTCGAAGGACACTGAGGGTCACGTGACCCAGGAGAAGACTGAGCCAGGTGGCTTGATGATATACTGCCCCAGTGGGCGGGTCCCTGACACCCCTAGGCTCACAGGAAGTTGGTCGAAGGACACTGAGGGTCACGTGACCCAGGAGAAGACTGAGCCAGGTGGCTTGATGATATACTGCCCCAGTGGGCGGGTCCCTGACACCCCTAGGCTCACAGGAAGTTGGTCTAAGGACACTGAGGGTCACGTGACCCAGGAGAAGACCGGTGCTGGATCACAGAGCAGTGAGTCTACAGGGGGAAGCAATGGAGAAAGATTGCTCATGCGTGGCATTGTTCTGGAGGCGGGTCTTAAAAGGAAAAGGCCACTCAAAACTTTGGGAGTGGGAGGGGCTGAAGGCTCGGTCAGATTTTGGCCTCTCACTTCCTGTCTCTAAGAGGAAACATTTTGGCTGGCATTCTACTTTAAGACCCACCTCCAGCGTAAGTTTTTTAAACATTTCTGGGACAGGAAGTGAGGTTAGTAACATTTTTGGAACAGGAAGTGAGGTTAGTAACATTTTTGGAACAGGAAGTGAGGTTAAATCTCCTCAAAGCGGAGATTTTTATTCTGTAATTATACTTTATAATGGTGATTTTTGTGTGTGTAGGTGAGCAGAGCCTTGGAGGAAGCCAGGAGCCCGCCCCTTGACTTGTCTCCGAGCGACGGCGACCCTTGCCATCACGTGACCGCCTACCGCCAGGGCAACACAGCGGCCTCCCGTAAAAAAGTCCTGCCCATCCTGAAGGAGCTCCTGAGGTCGAGCGACAGCTCCTGCTGCCCCATGCAGGCGTCCCAGGAGGCCGAGGACTCCAATGGACAGTCGGGATTCCACGAGCGAAGCGCGGGCAATCATTTCGAGGCGGCCGAGTTCCCGCCGGACGACGGGGACTACCAGGACGAGATGAAGGGGAGGGGCTACCGGGCCCGCTTCAGGAAACAATTCGAGGACGGCTTTGAGGACGAAAAGTCCTTCCCGCCCACCCCCATGAACAGTCTGGTGGAAGGTTGCCCCTTGGACCGAGGCCTACCCAAGCTGACGGTGGAAGCCATCTTGGAAAGGATTAGCCGCATTACCGTAGGGGATTCGGAGGGAAATTTAAACACCGGGAGCCAATCACGGGTCCTAAAAAAATAGGCTCCGCCCACTAATATATCTCAAGGTACTTTTCAAAGAGCGATGCAATTTTATCTTTTTTGATACCCGATTGATGGGAAAACAACGCGTTTTTTGTTTTATTTTTGAATCACGATGGGGGGGGTCGGAGAAAAGGGAAAACTTTTTAGACGCTCATTTCCTATCTATTACCCTGGAGACCTACCCCAGGAGCGAAAAATACCCGACATAAAGACGGATAAAGAAATACCCGACATGAAGGCTGATGAAAATACCCGACATAAAGCCTGATAAAAATACCCGACATGAAGACGGATAAAAATACCCGACATGAAGCCTGATAAAAATACCCGCCATAAAGACGGATAAAAATACCCGACATGAAGGCTGATAAAAATACCCGACATGAAGGCTGATAAAAATACCCGACATGAAGCCTGATAAAAATACCCGACACAAAGGCTGATGAAAATACCCGACATGAAGCCAATTCCAGCCAATTTTTTTTTTAAGCGTTAGCATTTCTGTTTTAATTTCTGCCTGTGACCGCATTGGGGTGATTTGCCTTCACTTCCTGTTTCGGTGACACCAAGCCATGAAATGGAGGGTGTGCTTGTCTGCAGGACAGGGAAGCAATAAAAACATTTCAGAAGTCTTAACCTTTCCTCGGTCTACTAAAAATGTGTTTTCACCTCTGTGACCCTATTGGGTGATTTGCCT